CAGGAACCATAGTCGTTCAGATCATCATCATTCTGCATTTTTAAGGAAAAATTTAAAAAGTAACATGTTCCTGTTGGAACCGCATTTTGGAACCTTTTACCAAGGTGGAACTGGAACGTTGTAACCCGTTACAAATTAAATGTAGACAAATGCATCTGTTTAATCTGAGGGTTTACCTGTCGAATCCAATTGGCAGCCAACATCAAGTGGTAATCGTGCACCCAAATCAGGGGAACTTCATTGGCGTTTTTTCTGGGCAATTGTCGCAAAGCCCTTAAAGTGCATTCTGCGAACTCCTTGTTGGCGGTTACGTAGTTCTTCCAGTGCTCGCGCTTGAAATTGGCCCGATCGGGCATGGAGTGGAAAAGCGGCCAGAACGTGGCATTGCAACAGCCGTTGTAGTACGAGTCGAAGATAACAGGATCGATTTGAACCACTATCACCTGCAACAGATGGTTTCCTTCGGCTTTTTGCCTCTTATTCTGGAATTGCCGTTTATTTACCTTGTCGGATTTGAGGCCGGTAGTGGGCGAAATATCGTCCGGGTCACTTTCCGGGATGGGTTCGTTGGGGTTGTCGAGATGGATGCCGGGCCAGCCGACCCAGAAACCATTTCCATTGATCACCACTGGAGCGACGGCCGTCACTAATCCACCAGCACTACCAGAGCAGATTAATTACTACATCTAATCTAATAATACTTTATAGATCATCCCCACAGTGTACTAATCCTGCGAGTTCAACAACAAATCGATATCCCCGATAAACCCACATGCGTTTCAATTCAAAGTTCCACTCGGCGGTGTAATTAGAAGGCTCCAAGAATACGGTCTCAATATCCATATAAATGTTTACACGCGTTTTATCTTAATTATGCGCCTTAACAATTTTATGGTACTTGTAAACGATAATCGCATTGTATTGTCTATATGCTCATAACGTGGGTTTTCATAAACCAATACACTATTTTAGTTATAGTTAATTTAGTTATTGCTCCTTAACATTTTTTAAACACAAATTTGCGTCTTTGTACTCAGTTTTAATATACGACTGAACACAAAGCGGAATTATCACATAAAATGACACCAAGGTGCTTAAATGGGGGAAAAATGTTAGCGCATTTTAACGGCTAATGAAATGGCACTTTTTGCAAAAACCTCTTAGCTTATCAGACTATGAAGGCTTTCACGGCCGGTTAAATCACATTTAGGAATGTTTTCCGGGCTTTGAAGCCGTGGTCTATGGGAATTTCTTCCTGAC